AAAACCCCAAAACCCCAAAACCCCAAGAGCAAATTATAAAGCAGAATTTTGGAATTAAAAATGAGTTTGATCACTGTATAAGACAATATAAATGATTTCCACTCAAGCTTAACTGACTAAACCAAAGCAATTCAAAAAGATTTTTCAAGTAATTTTAATTGGTAATAACTTTAGAATCCACTGCATCTCTACTCAGCTTGAAAACAAATATAGTAGATAAAGTAGATCTCAGAAAAAGTTTCAGAGACAGGAATACTAATGCTCATCTTGATTTCAATCATGTTAGTTATGGAAATCCAGCTGAATTAAACAAAGTCTTGCATGAGAGAAGGTAATTAGAAAATTGGCAACAAGAAAGGTATTAAAAGCCAAACTGGGTTGAATAAAATGTACTCCCTCTAAGAAGTAACAATAATTTAATATCATAACTAACTAATTTAGAGAGTTTACCACCCATAGAGCGATAGCATTTCGATAGGGAAAAGGAATTCAGAGTTAGGCTTAATAGTATCAAGAAAAACTATTAAATGGAAAGACTTAAGGGAGATGTTCAGAATGAGAGATATAAATAAAGCTCAAAATACATAGAACCAATAGATGATGACGGCTATCGATTTAAAAGAGAACAAAGAGTGCCAATGATGCAGGATGTGATTTAGCATAGACCTAAAATATAGACAAGAGTGATAGAGCCTCCTCCCGTAATAATTGACCCTAAAGCTGCCCAATATCATGATCCTTTGCCCGCATACTATTATAACACACCTTATTTCAAAGAATATTTCACACCTGCTCATTAGCCAATGGTAAAACTGAGTCCGTTATACAAGAGTCCTCATCCAATTGTTTAAGTTTAAAGGGAAATCCAAATGAAAAATGATATTATTAGTGGACTGAATACTGAAATAAAGAGAATAAAGAACTATGATAGTTTGTATAATTATACTTATGGCAACTTGATGTGATTTTGATTATTTTCCAAGATAAATGGCTTTTGCATTAAATTATTGGACTGTTTAATTTGAATATAATTTAATAAATTTGATTTCTATGGAATATAATTCGATTGCAACCCCTAGAACTTCTAACTTGAATAAATTTACGCTAAATTCTAATACTTTGGCTTTTGCTGGAAATTAGATGATGTATCGAAGTATAAATGACATTCACTCTGATTGATAGCATCTTGAGTAGATGGCAAAGTTGAAAAATAGCAGAAGTGGTTTCATAGATGATTAAATGACTGATTGTAAGATTTGACCGATCATTTAATTCCAAAGTGTACGATAAGAAATATTGAAGTGTCTCGAGAGGTAGTAATAAATCAGGCCTATTTTCATCCTATAGATAATCAAGATCCAAATGGTTAGCAGAGGTAAATTTATTTCATTTAAGTTTCTAATAGAACCACAATGAGCCTAAAGCAAGAGCAATAATAGACTAATCAATTGGACCATTATCTAAATATAAGTAAACGATACCTCAGTCGATGGATACTCAAATACAAGATCTTAAAAATTATATGGTCTCTCATAATAATGACTTAGACAGGCCTTTTCATTACTATGCATCTCAAAACTACTATAATAAGTAAATGGAAGATAGAGTAGATGACTATATCAGATTAGCAGTAGATTATGATGAAATCTGGGATAGAGGCTCAAGACTGCTAGATGAAATAAAGCACACATTTCTTCAATTTAAGGATAACGTTAATAACACAGCCAATCTAAATTAGACGACTCTTCCTGTTCATTTTATGCCATGGGCCTCTGATATCTAAATTGATAAGAAATTAAAGGAGTTTGAAGTGATTAAGGAGGATTTGCAAAGATTTTTAGCACGCATTCCCAAATATACTCTGATGCATAAAATCAGAAATTAAATGATGAAGGACATTCTTAAATACAGATATGAGCTAGAGAGATTAACTTAGTTGATTCTGTCTGATCATAGAAAACCCATTTATCCTCCAGCATTGATTAATGAGATAAGACCTCCTAATTTCAGGGCTTTCATTCATTAGGAGCAACAATTTTAACCAAATGCTCCTAGATATAACTAATTTGTAGGATTCAAAGTCAACTTTGACTATATTATAAACATCTTGAAAGGAGAGTACTCATACATGCAGATAATTTACACAGTATTTAATCTGGGCTAGTGCTAACTAGAACCTTAATTGACAGGGGTTTACGAAGTTAGAAATTATCATCATGGTCCAAAGTAACTTGGAGAAAGCGTGTTTAACACTAGATCGCTAATTATCTAAGAATTAGACCCTTCACCCAACTCCTATCTTGTGCTTGAGATACTTGGAAAACCATGCAATCCCAAAAAACTTTTTATAGAGGAATAAATTGATGGAGATGGTAATGGGTACCCTTTATCGCCTGATGATGAATTCGAAAAGAGCTAAGGTCTAAAAATGGTAACTGCTGAAGGGCTTAAACCAATAGGATGGACTGCTATCAAACTATTTGATGATTATTTAGAATTAGACAGAGGGAACTATAAAGTCCCTATTTACGAAACTCCCACTAATGTGCAAGAGCTGAGCGATGAGCTGTTTCGATAAATCAATAGAGTTGGTCCAATGACTATTTGGATGAGATTATATCATGCAGATGAAGATGATAAACAGTTCACTTGTCATCCTTCTTACTCTGTAAATCATCATTTGATTTATCTTTTAGCATCTTTATGGTGTTCCTTTGATTCATGATTTTGACTATGTTCAGCATTAACCAAAGTCAAAGAGAGATCCAAATTATAAATGCAAAGGATTTAATGTGTTTATTCATCACTCTAGAGGACATACTCCCGTTAGACCAATAAGAGTTGCATTTTTGCTTCAATTTGGAAGACACATTCTCAAGCATGAATCAGGAGGAGTATATTTCTATGCAACTTCTGGTATATTTCCAAGAAGGAAAAACCCAAAGAATCTTACTCCAGAATAAGAAATAGGTATGATTCAATATTTTATTCACCATGAAAGCATATTCTTATCCAACTGACTGTGGTTTGTTTCATCAAGGAAAAGTTTGGATGCGAGATTTTTACAATTGGCTATGGGATATGTGGGATGAAAATACATTTCACAACTTGAATCTTCTAGTTTAACTTCTTCAGGTATTCAATTCTATTCTAACATTAAAAGGTGAAAGAGGGGGTAAAACCTACTATAACATCATTGATTTCTAGAGGGTTGATAGAGGCTGAATATGATTTAATTGGATATGGTGTAGTTGCAGTTAATGATATTAATGGTAAGATGAACTATGGTGACTACACGTTGAGGCTCTATGATGGTCCTATTTATCTAGAGGAGATTAGCTAGGCTAAGCAGAAAAATATGGATATTAGAGTGACTTTTGAGTCTGCAACAGTGAAAGAAATCATTCCTTAGTATCCCCCTAAGAACTATAATATGAATGATCCTAAAGTCAAATAGCTTTTCTCTGATATGCCAAAAAGCATAAATAGATCTCATCTTAAAAGGCAAGAGACTATTCTCACATCTATAGTGCTTCCAAATCAAAGAAAAAAGGAAAAACCTCCATTTTATGAAGTTTGACATTTGCAGCAACAGATAAATAGATTAGCCTGGTATAAATATGATAATTGGTAATCTTAATTTCATAAATATCTTCGAATCCAACACTGATGGGGTTTTGGGGTTTTGGGGTTTTGGGG